CAGGTTTCTCTGCATGACACTAGGAAGTGTCCTGCGCTCTCTGTGCCCCTGTGTAAAGATGTCCTGAACCGCCTATGGGCTTTGGACCAGACAGACCAAGTTTGAATTCAGCCTAAGACACACACTGTGAGCCTTAGGACAAGCCCCCTAGTCTCTCTGAGCCTCAGTTTCTCTGCCATCAACTGGACTAAGACCACCCACTATAGAGAGTCTAGGAGTGAATCTCATTTCATCCTCGCCAGATCCCTGTGGAGCTACTGAAGGCCCTAACTCACAGCTGAGGCTCAGAGAGGGCTAACACCTTGCCCAGGTTCACACAGCACATGGCAGACACAGGATTCAAACCCAGGTCGGCCTGAGCCCAGACCCTGTGCCCTTGACCTCGCACCAACTGCCTCAGGGTAGGGGAGNCTGTCATTTTTCTTAACAGCCCACATAGACTGTGTCCTATTACTATAGTGGAATGAACGTTTATGGCTGAATCTGACTCCTGACCCCCACTGGGACCCTGGGATTGCCCCCAAGCCTCCTAGCAGCAGGACACCATGACTGATAGACAAGGAGAGGCTGCTGTCACAAACCCCAAGGCTGTGGGAAGCTCTGGGAGGTGTGTGGCCAGGGCCACCTCTGCAGCCAGGACCTCTGTGCCCAAGGCTGGCTCAGCCGCATCCCAGAGTAGGGACCTGTGGCACCTAGACGCACAAACCCCATGAATCCCCACACCAACTCTAAGACAGGTGAGAATCCCATTCAACAAGATAAGGAAGCTGAGGCACGGTGAAGTTCATGGACTTGCCCACGAGCACCAGTGACACCGCGGCAGTGGAGAGGGGCAAACCCACGCCTTCCACATGGACAGCGCGGCTGTGGGGGGTGGAGGGTGCTGAGGGGCCAGACACTGCAGACTCCAGCCCGGGGTTTGAGGTGGCTTCCCAGGGAGGCAGTGCGGGGGGAGTTGGGGTGCAGCAGGGATGGAAGTGGGCGTGCACCCCCAGGAGGGCAGCATGAACGAAGGCCTGGATGTGGGGCTCGAGGCTCTTGCTGGATCAACAAAGGCGGGGCACGGTCTTTGTTCAGTGTCTAGGCGATGCCGCTTCCGAGACTGGGCCTGCTCAGCTATGACCAAAGATTAAAGGGCTGGAACTGGGGAGTGGGGTGAATGGGGGCACTGGACACAGTTTGCAGCCTCTTGGCCTCTCTTGAACAGCCCCCCCAGAGTAGAAGCCAGGACCTGCCTCCAGCCCCCCTTGCATCTAGGAAGCAGTCATGTGACTCGGCTCCACCAGTCAGAAGCCCGGGAAAGCCTGTGGTCTGGAGCAGCAACGTGGAGCCGGCAGGGCGTACAGCCCGTCGTCTTCGGGCTGGACTCTGGAGTCAGGGCACAGGTTTCTCTGCATGACACTAGGAAGTGTCCTGCGCTCTCTGTGCCCCTGTGTAAAGATGNGCCAAGGATGCAAAGGGAACAAGATCAGGTATAATGAGGGCAGCGAAATACCCAAGGGGTCCTCAATGAGCCAGCTCCTCTGTCCCAGACAGGGCCCCAGAGACCCTCTGATTCTCTCTCAATTCTTCTGCCTCCCTCTTTTCAGACCACAGTTATTTCAAAGAAACAACTTCCCAGGTAAGGGGCAAGGAGAGAAGGGAATCCCTCCTACCCAGGCCAGTTGGTCACTCAGCTTCTACCTTGGCTACCTGCCCATCTACCAGTTTACCCATTCACCCACCCACCTATCCATCATTTCTTTCATCCCTTCACCCGCCTACTCATTTGCCCATCTACCCAACCACCCACCCACCCATTGTCCCACATATCCACCCATTCATCCATCCATCCGCCCACCCACCCGCTCATCCACCCATCCATCCATCCACCCACCCATCTATCCATCCATCCACCCGCCCACCCATCCACCCATCCATCCATCCATCCATCCACCTGTCCATCCACCCGTCCATCCACCCGTCCATCCATCCATCCATCCATCCTCTCACTTCCTTATTCATTCTTTCCTTCACTCATCAACAAGGCCCTATTAAGCACCTCCTTTGAGTCCACCCTCTACCCTTTTGGAGAAAACCATCCCCAACAATTCCTAGGGGAGCTGAAGGACCGTACTTCCCTTCCTTTCCTCAGCCTCAGGCCACCAACCCAGTTTTTCCATGTCTCTAAGGGGTGAAGAACACACTGAAACAAGATTGGGGGATTGGAAGTGGGTTCCCACAGTGAGGACTAGGGAATGCCCAAGAGGCTGGTCACAATGGACCAGGCATGTTCTGTCTACCCACCTGCCACCCCACATTTCTCAGTAAAGCCCACCATCACTCAGCTCTGCCCCTACTTTCCTGTAGAAACTCAGCTCTGCTCTGTCCTGTCTCTAGACCTCAGTTTGTCCATATATCAGATGAAATTCCAGATTTAGATTCTTCCAGCCCTGACCTCCTTCTGGAAGTTGAGAGGAGGGATGAAAGACAGCACCGCCTGCCTGTGCCCATAGCAGACATCACTAATAAATCATGCACTCTTTCCTATTGATTCCACACGCAGCATCAGAATTCTTGTCAATGACACATTTCAGGCAGATATCACCAGTTGGCCAGGTCTGGGTTCAAGATCAGATCACTTTAGGTCAGACATACCCAGCTCCCCAAACCAGTTATGAATGGAGCTGTTAGGAACTGCTCTTTTGGGATCCTATTTATAGATCTGACAATTTATAGATTCTCTTTAACCACAGAATCTGCCCAACCTTTGGGGGACAGGTTTCTCTCTCCATTACCAGACATATCTTAGCAGAAGGTCAATGAATCTGTCAGGAGGCTGCGGAGGGGACTTTGGCCCTGAAAGGGACTGGACCATCTAGAGGTCCTGTCTAGCCAGGGATCTGTTCAGACAAAGCCCCAGGAGTG